TATAAAGCTATTCCAGATAATGGCAAGGTGATTGTTATGGAATCAGTTCTTTCAATCACCGCCAAGACAAGCCCTGCTGCGAGAGCGATCTCTCAACTTGATGTGCTGATGATGACTCAAAACCCAGGAGGGAAAGAACGGACCGAACATGAATTCATGGCCCTGGCCACTGGAGCTGGATTCCGTGGAATCAAATACGAAGCCTTTGTTTGTAATTTTTGGGTGATGGAGTTCTTCAAGTAGATTATTGCTTATAAATTGCATTTGTGGAAATTGAAGGATGTATCCTCACATTGTAGCTATCAGGCTTGAAGCTTTCCTTGCCGCCCGTGTGGATCGAAACTATATGAACCAAATAAATAGCTGATGTTCATCAGCCTTTAGCATTTCCGAGGTTGCAGTTTGACGAGCTACATACTTTACAAATAGATATTGTATTTTTGCTGCAACAATGCATTCCTAACCTGGCCTGTATGAAATCAAATAACTCTCCTATTAATTAATACAAACGAGAAATGCTAGAATTCCATTCAAATTAATATGTTGAATAACAAGTGGTGATCCTGTATCCACAACATGGGATTTCAGTACCAAAATAAACGCAATCCTCGTGAGCGTTATTATTACATGGGTTGCCCTAGAGTTAGTAAAATGAATTAACTGTTCATGTTGGTTATACGCACGAATTTGAGAATGATATCCTACCTTGACTACGAGGATCCTGTTCCAACTATTTTGAAAAATTCTAGATTAGCCGTGTGAAGACAAGGGACTTGTTTTTTTTTTTTTTAATTTGTTAAAACAATTGAAGTATGCTGACCGGATCGAGGAAGGAGATTTTTCTTCGAGCCCATCATGCAAAAGTTTATATATAGAAGAAATAAAATAATTAATCGATGGTTAAGAATTTAAAATAATCCCATCCCATAAAATTAACGTGACAGAATAATAGTTCATAATAATAATGCTGGTAATAATGCCGATGATAATGATAAAAAAATAACTTTAGGATAGCCCGCTATAATATAGTAAAATAATGATAGTCTATAATAATAAGCTGATGATAATAATAAATAAATAAAAGCTTGAGGACAGCCCAGTGTAATATAGCAAAATCAGATCGCAGTTCATAACGCTGTTCATTATCTGTGTTTATCAGACCTTTTCTTTTTATATATATAAAGACAGTTTATACTATTTTCATTTATTGGCACAACCCAGTATGCTAGTATGCTGTAAACTCCCACAATTCAAGCTACGGTAGTGGGGAGACATTGAAGAATGACCGGTGTATTAATAAAAATAACTCAGCATAGTAGTTCATTCAATTAAGAAAAAAGTCGTTGAAGGAAGATTGATATATTAATGGCAATAACCCAATATTTCAACCAACTAAGAAAAAAAGTTATTGAAGAGAGATTGATGTATTAATGACAACAACCTATCATGCTATGACAGTTCAACCAACTAAAAAAATTTTAATGAATTAATTGAAATAATCTTAGGTTCAAAATAATAATGGAGCATATCCTAACAGAACATATCTTGAAATATTAATATAATTTTAATGTGATTACCATTTTTAGAAACCTTGGCAGAGCATATCATGAAAGTATAATATCTTCAACTCTTTTTATTCATGTTTAAATAGATGACGTGGTCTTTAATATTTTGTATTGTAAAAAAAAAAAAATTAATTACTTTTTCAGTTATGTTCGCGTTTGGAGGAGTCTGCCTTGCTCATCCCATTCTTCTACCTGTTCTTCTTTTTTTCTTCTCCATTTACTACTGGCAGAGAATTGTTTGTTCCGAACTTATATTCTATAACATTTAATTGTCATGCACATGTTTAGAGTGTTATTTTAATTTAAAATAATTCTCCTCGATACAAATCTGAACTCAATTCGTCACTCTGCACAGGGCATATAGATTTCTATAGCATGATAGCTGATAGAAGTTGTTTTCATTATTCATAAAATAATTATTTAGGTCAACAAAATGAACAGGGAAACAATTATAAAATCTCTAATTAATTGACATGTAGAAACATGTAAAAAAATAAACTAATCAATCATACAAATCATATATAAAAATTTACATGGTTTAATAATTTAGATATATACAATCATAAAACTTTCCTATAAAAAATAAAAAAATTATAAGATATCATACAAAATATATCTCTTACTGAAAAACACTAAAATAACTCAAAACTTATTTTTTTCTTTCTAGCCATCAAAATATAAAAAATAAAACACTCACAAACAATTATTATATTAAAATATAACAATTTTAGATTTCTATATATATATATATATATATTAAGTGTATAGTTTTTTTTTTCACTTGAAATCATAATTTAAAACAAACCCAACTAAAGTATTTAAGGAATAATTATTTCATAGAAAAAAATAAATATATAGAAAAGAAAGAAATAAAAGAGAGAAAAAAATATATATAGAAAAGAAAGAAATAAAAGAGAGGATTGAAATAATATTTTGAGTTCAACAATTTTATCAAATTTTCTTGGTTTTATGAATTTCATAAGATGGTAATTGGGCTTCAAGCCCAATATATTGAAACAGTAAACAATATCAAATAAAGCCCATTTAAGCTAGACTTTATAGCGTAGTAATCCATGATAATTATATATTTTTTAATTTTATTTTTGATTTAATGATTATTATTTTTTATAATTTATTATAGAAAGATAAAATCCAATAAAAAATAATTAATGTGTAAAACAAGAAGAAATCACATGTTTGATTTCAAATACGCACAAAAAATTCTTTTTGATTCACTTACTTTTTTTTTTCTTCCTCTATAGTCCTTTTAGTTTTTTATTTTTATTTTTAATTTTAGTTTTAATTTTTTTATTTTTCAAATCTATGGAATCGAGAGAGAGAGAGAGGAGAGGCAAAGTCACTGTAAAAAAGATGAGTAAGTAAAAGTCATCGATTGCCCATATTTTAGCTATAAAAAAAATCAATATTTTGTATTAACAAATATTATTTGACAAGCTAAGTTCTATTGAAATGTTTTTAGATTTTATTTTGCTTGAAAATTATATAGTGATTTTTTCAGTTTGATTGTGTTCTTAGACTAGTTTAGATTAGAGGTGTTTTTAGTTGAGAGATTGATTGATTGATGCAATAAGTATATTTGTTAGGTTTTTTAAGTTAAAATAAGTTAAACATGGATTTTAAAAACAAAAAAAATCCCTACTTGATTTTCTGCCACCTTTTTGGTGTCCAAGATAAGTAAGTAGGTGAAATTTTTGTCTACTTTTACTTCTCTTAAAAATTAGATGACATGTAATTGTATGTTCCTTGAAGAAAAAAAAAGAGGGCTAACTCATGGATTTAGCCTTGTAAGCCCATTCATGTCTGGCCTTTGATATGCTAGAGTAAGCCCATTCATGTCTGGCCTTTGATATGCTAGATTTTATGTTAGGTCCAAACTTTTTTTTATTTTTTATTTACATTTAAATGCAAGCCCATTCATGTCTGGCCTTCGATATGCTAGATTTTATGTTAGGTTCAAACTTTTTTTATTTTTTTATTTTTTATTTACATTTAAATGCACTATAAAAAATTAATATTATTTTTCAATTATTAGTTTCATACTTCTCAAATAATATTATAAGTTTTTAAGAAAATGTTAATCATATTTTTTCAATTATTATGTGCCTTATATGAAAAAAAAAGCTCATGAAAACTCAATTAACATAAAATTTATGTTGTTTAAAAGTTTTAATATATTTTTGATATATTTCTATCACATTTATCAATTTTTTTTTTTGTGTTGAATCATATACAAAATAACGAGACTGAGTTTTAATTTTTTTTTAAATTTACTTTTTAAACCATGTTGGATTTTTGTTTAAAAAACATACTTGCAATTTAAAAACATGTTCTAATAAAATCAAGCCTGGAATAAAATCAACCCTTTAGACATGGCGACCATCACCATCATCACGGTTGATTGATAGCATTGGTGCGAGTTAGCGCATAATAATGGCTAGCTAGAAGACACAGTATCCGGTCCACAATCATAGGTGCTCGCGGGGGTTATAAATTAAGAAGACACATAATTAATGGCCCTGCTTTTGATAATCTCTCTAATAGCTCACCTAAGGGAAGACCAAACTACCTGACAGTATCATGGCATAAAAGCAGTCCTCTTCACTTGTATCCTGTATAGTGAACTTCTCGTGTGATTTTTTTGAAGCCATATATTATATATATGTCTTATTGTTTCTGTATTTTGTGTATGCTTGTCCATTACCAGAGTTGAAGGCAAAGAAAATAAGTATGATTACTTTGGATAGCGATGAAGTACAAAAATTTTGGGATGAGTTATTGATCATGAAAATGACTGTTCTTGCTTCAAATGGCATGAAACAGTTCAATTGACGGAAAATAGAAGCTGTGCTAACCACAATGATCAATTTCCTTTGGTGGTGCATCACCTCATTGTTTGTCACTCACCATGTTTATTGTTGAACGAATTCAAGTTACGTTCAGAAACTATTCGCAGGTTGTAGGATAAGGAGCAGACTGACAGAAAAGTCTAATACAAGCGACAGCTCTGTCCAGAAGAAGAGGAGACTAGCGAAAGGATTCTCATAGATTATGTCTAGAAGGTTTTGCCTCTTGTAGGATATAAGAACGGCTTCAGTACCCTACCAGTCTCTTTCTAGCTAGAAACTCGGTAATATCTCTAAACCAGGCTGAAATGACTGATGTCATTCTGGGGATTTGACATGGATAAAGCTGATACAGAAGGCTAGTGTCTCCTATGCTATTACAAATCAAGACTGGCATTTAAACGTACAAAATCACTTATGTGTCTTCACATACAAATGGAAAGCTTTATTATAGTCTCATACTTAACAGTTATGGTAAATGCATTTAATTTGCTCCGCATTACCAATCCAAACTCCATGGTAGATGATACACATATATAAGCATGGATGAAGTTACATTGGAAAGGAAAATTTAGTTCTTAAACATGCCCAGACAGGTCTCAGTAGCAAGCCCATGGTTCCAGAACTTCTGGTAGTACTCACTGTAAGCAAAGTTCCTATACAGAGCAGGGTGATCATCATCAATTAGCGATGGGGCTGGTCCAATAACTGCATCATGTGATGGGCAGTAGAAAGTAGGGATAGAGATCCTCTCCTTGTCGCGGTCCACCACAGCCCGATGGAGCACACTCCTGTAACGATCATTGCTAATGACCTACAAAGACAGAAACTCAGATGGATCATAAGCAACAGTTTACTGGTTAGCAAGGCAAAACAAGATAACTATCTAACAAATATTTTCCAAGTTTCTAGATTAACAAATACTCTATGATTTGAAATGGCAGCCTAACTCGCCCGCAAATGGTTTACCTTAACAGTTGACTGGGTTTGAATCAATGGCGGTCCAACTTTTTTTTGTTCGTGTCCTTTACGAACACAGATATTTTTATATCAATTTACAAAGTAAATTTCTTTTTTGGATCATCCAAATTAATACACATTCTACGCACATCGACTTGATGGTTTACAGTACAAAGATGCCATTACCTAGTCCGTCGTCCCTTGAAATCATGGAGTCGTTTTCATTTTTGGATGTTGTATCCTCCACTGATTTCTTCTACTTTATCATTATCCTCTTTGGGTCAAAACGCATCCTCTAGGGACCCGTGTGAGGCTTGGCTTTGTTTCATTTTTTTCTCCAATACTTTTCTCTATTTTATTTTTTCCATCTGATTCAATTTATATATTGTTCTTCATTTTATTTTCTAAGAATTTGTTAAAATTATCTATGTTTCTCTTTCTTTTTCTAAGCGCTTTAAATCTTTCCCTTCCCTCTTGTATTTCTTGAAACAGCAATGTCAAAATCTTAGAGAGTATTTTGTTTTTTATTTGAAAATACCTCTCCCTTGCTTGCCTTTTCTATATTTTATTTTTTATATTTTTAAGAACGCACTTAATTAGAAAAAAATAGTTTTCATAAATAATTTAATGTCTTTTTCTCTTATGAATTAATCAGACACGCACAGTTTCTTGAAAAATTTAACAAACATATACCATAATATAAATATTACAAATCAACCGATCATAACATCCAACGACCATTTTTTATCATATTTATGTGAAAAATATGGTACCATTTTTTTCAAGTTGAGTTGGACATAGGTATGCGTATCAGACACTCACCTTTCATATTAATTAGATCCCGAGTCTCACCAACATAGGTAGGAATTATCATGTTCAAACAATCGGAGAGATGAATGGGGATTAGGGAAATGGAGACGGACTATCTCATTGTGTAGTCTCTAGCTCGTGGGGTCGCCCAAACCGAGAAAAAAAGAAGTTCATAGGACCAAAAGTTAATGGAACCATTCCTACTGCGGTACTGCAGGTATGGATCATGGACTGATCATCTAGAGTTGTGTGTGGAACAAGGAAAAGAAAAAAAATCATATTTATGGGAGAAGGGCAAATCAAGCACTCCTAATCTTTAACTTACCTGTATCTGATCCCCAATGTTGACAATAAACGTATATGGAATCGGGTTTATAGCAACCCATTTGTCATTTTGGAGCACCTGCAAGCCCGGCACATCATCCTGCAGAAGGATGGTGATGGCATTAGGATCAGCATGGGCAGGCAATCCATACGTGAGCTGTGGTTGTGGACAGGGAGGATAGTAATTAACAGCCATATGTTGTCCATGCTTGCTCAATGCCTTACAGATGTAATCTGTTTCAAGACATAAGCTTTCTGATATTGCTCCAAGCAGTCTGATTGATAATTCTCTAGCATTCCTGCAATACTCGGCAACATCCTCTCTGCACGCCACAAAGTTCTGTTAACCAAGAAAGCAAAGACAGGAAAATTATATATCAATTAGAGAGAATTTCGTTCTCCATATAGGTATGGTGTACGTACCTGAAAGATGGAGGGTTGTTCGGCCATTCATGAATGTAGTCTTCCAATGGGTAGCAGTGAAGTCTTAGGAAATCCCTCCAGCTGGATACAATTTCAGTTTTCACATTGAAGCTAGTGGAGAGCCTTGTTGTCTTCATGGGATCATCGGAGTAATTCTTCAGCCTCTCTCTCTCAGTTAGATGGAAAAACTCCTTGGAAACGCGAAGCGTGCCATCAATCACCTTGTTCGGAATTCCATGGTTTTTAACCTTCAGAAAATAAAAAATTTAAACGAAATGATCACCATAATATAATTTACAATGTCTCATCAAATCTAAAACTAAATTTTCGAATGATGCAAAAAGGCAAATATATGTGCCTGAAAGAAACCATGGGTTTGGCAAGCTCGGCCAATCTCTCCGACAATGCTAGAGCGGTGAGGACCTCCAAGGCCTTGGAGATCAATTAGAGGAATAGAACCATCCGAGGACAGAACTTCACTAAGTTTTGGTCGGTCAGATACAGGTCTGATGTAATTTGAGGGAACATCGCTTGCAATAGACACAAGATCCGATAAGAGTACTGGCTTTCCAGTAGCCATTGCAATCACCTAATTGATCCTGCCTTCTGAAGATTTTCAGGCTGTGTGCTGGTGCGTGAGAGGGGTGAGCTAGGTCATATATATATAGAGTGCGGCCTTTTTATTTGCTTTATTTTTTTATTTTTTTTTGTAACAGGCCTGTAAACGTGGTAACGTACAGTTCATTGGAATCTCTCGTCATCCCCTTGAATTCACGTGGGCCTCCTTTGTACTATGCATCGGTTTTACTGATAGGCATAGGCATGAGAGAAGGAATCCGCCAGTTTTCTGCAAAAGTTAAAACTGCAAATTTGGTAGCGCTCAGGATTATCGATTATCCACGTCAGAGGATATTCCCTGTTTGTTTCTGTTTTAAAAATATTTTTTTTTTTTTAATTTTTCGTTTCTGTTTTAAAAATATTTTTTATTTTTTTTTAATTTTTAATTTATATATTTTTAATATTTTTAAATTATTTTGATATAAAGATATTAAAAATAATTTTTAAAAAATAAAAAAAATCATTAATATGTATTTTAACACATAAAACTATTTAAAAAACAATTATAACCATACTTCCAAACAAACTCTAAGACCTACTTCTTATAATAATAATAAAAAGCTTTCAAGATCTAATTTTTTTTTCAAATATTCATATTTTTTTTTTAAAATATAAATATTTGAAACATGAAAATTATTATTTTTAAAATATTAATTGTTTTTATTATGTTTATTACAAGGTTAAAGCAATTTACTTTCATGATATAACAAATTTTAAAATTTATACACAACAATTTCTATAAATTTTTTTCAGAATTTCTTTTTTTTTTCTAATAAACATAAATAAAGAGTTTGCAGAGAAAAAAACAAGAAGAAAAGATTGTTTTCTAATTAATTTTTTTCAATATCAAACTAATATTTATAAACAATTATAACCATACTTCCAAACAAACTCTAAGACCTACTTCTTATAATAATAATAAAAAGCTTTCAAGATCTAATTTTTTTTTCAAATATTCATATTTTTTTTAAAAAAATATAAATATTTGAAACATGAAAATTATTATTTTTAAAATATTAATTGTTTTTATTATGTTTATTACAAGGTTAAAGCAATTTACTTTCATGATATAACAAATTTTAAAATTTATACACAACAATTTCTATAAATTCTTTTCAGAATTTCTTAGTTTGCAGAGAAAAAAACAAGAAGAAAAGATTGTTTTCTAATTAATTTTTTTCAATATCAAACTAATATTTATAAAAAAAAATAATACCCTTTAAAATTAATATATCTATATAAATTTAAAAGCATATCTTTATAAAGTATTTATAAAACTTAACAGGCACATCTCCATAAACCATATCTATAGAATTCAAAATACAACTTTTTAGTTAAATTAAAAAAATAACTTGATAACAGTTATCATGCATAATTAATTAATTAATTTTAAAAATTAATTAATTAATTAAATTAAATCAATTCCAAAAATAAAAGCTATTTATTTTTTATAATGACAAGTGCATATGCATTATGAAAAATAATTTTCCATTAAATCTTTTTATTCAGTATCAAAATTTGTTGATTTGATATCTCTTCACTCTGTAAAGTACAATAAAAACATTTTGTTTTATTATTTTCAATACCTGATAGAATTTTTTTTATTTACCTAATATTCAAACAATTATAACATTTTTTGTGTGTAAGAATAACATATCACAATCATCATTACTCATCGTTGAATGTTTTGGAAAGATAAATTAAAAGATTTGGCCGTCTTTGGACGCTAGCCATCTTTCAGAGGAGGCTATAAAATTGTTAGGCTATTGGCTTTGGACTTCACCCTTCTAACAAAAAAACAGTCTACTCCAGTTGTTGGCAACACAATATGTAGGCTGGAAAGTTTGATCTACCGAGCTCAGTTGCGAGTTTGGGTTTTAATTGTTCCCGTCAGAAGTTGTAGCTAAGAACTCCTTTTTCTTTCCTCCTCTTGAATTACGCAAATACGTTATATATCAGAACTCAAGATCTGTCGTCGATGCACTACAAGCGAAAAACATATTATTATACAGAAATCTGAGCAATGAGCTTAACGAGAAAACGCATATGATTCTTATAGTAGTTATAACTTGTAGGTACTAACTCTAAACCACTTTACTTTATGGTCGTCTTTTTCTTTGATTTGTTTTCCCAGTATCTCCATCTGATTCTTCTCCCTTGTCAGCCTGAACACTATCTCATACCTGATCATATTTCCTTAGCCAAGGTTGCATCATCTATCTAATTTGATCCTACTTGTTACTCTGAGGCCAAATGAGATCTAGAGTGGAATTCGATGATGGCCGTGGAAATTGATATGTTGATTTATAATAAAATATATATTATTTTTGATTTGTTTTTATCCGTTGATGAATATTGCTGGTTGCAAATAAGTATTCGAGATTAAATGAAAAATAAATGGGTTTATTAAGTGTTATAAAGCTCAATCAATAGTCAAGAGCTATCATTAATAATTAATAAGGTGTTAACCTTGATGAGACTTTTAATCTAGTTATCAAACGGGTTATTGTTTGGAAAATATTGGCTATTGTCATTTTATAGTGCTGGTTTATTTATCAGTTGGACATTCATGATGTTTTTTAATGGCTTTCCTTGATACCAATGATTACATGACGTAACCTATAGGTTTTTTATCCTCAATTTACCTCTCATGTGTGCAAGCTCCACAAGTATTTTCATGGACTTAGAAAGGCACCACGAGCGTGGTTTGATTGATTTTATCGATTAGTGTTGGGTTTTAGCTTTCATGCATGCCAAATTGATCATATTTTCTTATTTTCATCTTCACATCCTCGACTATCTACATCTATATTTTGGTTGGATCTGCAGAAGGTGGACAGAGCCACTAATCCAAAGATGGAGTGTGTCTAACTGGTTGGAAGATGCTTCTGTCAGTCTTAATACAAATGGTGCGATGAGATTTTCCATTGAAAGAGCAACTACAGGGGGGCTTCCCAGGGACTGCACAGCATATTTCTCTTACAATATTGGTATTTGTTCAATTACTAGAGCTGAATTATGAGGCATGCTTATTGGTTCACACCACACATGGGAGAAAGACTTCAGAAATGTTATGGTGGATTCAGATTCTGCAGTTGCAGTGCATCTCATTCAAGGTACTCAAACCAGTGATAATTCTAATATCCAAAATCATCTACTCTATCCAAGAACTCCTTACACGACCATGACAGGTTTAAATTCACTATGTTTATAGGGAGGTTAGTCTCCGTACGAATTGGATGGAAAATCATGCTCTCTCTCTTTCTCTCGAGTAAGGTATTCACTCTTTTGCTTCTTGCTTTTCTAGGTGCTTCATTGTTCTTCTGAAACACATGTATCGGACTGTGTTTCTTAAAATTATGTTATTTGTAATTCTTTTATTTTAGGCTTTAAGCCATCCTTTCAATCTAAAAATAAAATCAAGAACAAAGAAAATTCAAGTGGTTCATATTTTGAACTTTCCAGGCTTGATCTTGTGCACAGAAAGCAACCATCTCCAAATTGTTTTCGAAAAAAGAAACCCGAATTCATCTGTCTAGTTACACCATCGGCCCAGCTATTGGCCCAGCTCACAAAAGCAGGGCTGTCCTATTGCATCCACCTTCTAGATTTTTTAACAAACACGCTACTTCCAGATTCACCCAGAAATAATAAACGTTCAACGGGCAAGATGGACACGAACTTCCATCCCCTTGATCACACCGTCCATTACCAAACTGGACGAACCTCACGAGCATTCACTGGAGTAGAAAACGTGTGCACTTCTCCGCTTTTTCTTCATAAACCGCCACGTAGCGGTATTTTCTCCACGCTGGCATAGAACTGTCCACTATTTCCAGTTTACCCTTACGTACATAAACGCTACCGTATAGAACCGATCCTTCGCAGAGAGCCACGTCACCAAAGGACCCCACACGCAATATTGGCTTTTACGGACTTAACCTTGAGGGCTAGGGAGTTTGTGGTGGAGATTTGAAGATGGAGCGAGGGGAGCAAAAATGGGGAAAAAGTGCAGGGGTGTGCTGTGCTTTAGACTAATCCGCCACTAAATAATTGCCAAATGGCATTATCTCTCCCATCTCTCCCTCTTACTTCAGCGTTCAACTTCAATAGCAGCCTCAAATAATAAAAACAAAAATAAATCCACAAAAAATTATAGTGGCTGAGATTGTTCCTTGGTGTAGTTTCTGGTGTTAAAGGTCTCACCGAAACTTAGCTTTCGCTTCTCTCTGCTTTTACTTTCTGCTTCTGCTTCTGCTTCTTCTCCTTCAGTTCTCTCTCGACACAGAATTTGCCTTTTCCTTTCCCCCTAATTTCCGATCCACCATTGCCTGAAACAGTGAGTTCTTCATTGAGCTCAGTGCGTGCATGATCGCGAATTCTATCAGTACTTCTACAGCTTTACTTCACCATGGCTTTTTCTCAAGGTACCTTCTCTCATATCTAGGTATTATTTCTTTTCACTTTCCGTTTGGTTGCCGAGAAAATTCAACCAGATTTTTTCTCTCAAAATTCACCCAGATTGTTAAATCAGTGTAAATTTTCGATATTTTACTTAAATTTTCCTCGGAATCAATTACAATATACTGTTGAATTTATTGGAAGCTGTTTTTAGTTACTGATTTGGATTTCACTGTTTTTTTTTTTCTCTTGGGAAGGAATTGGAGTCTATGCGTTCGTCTTGGTGAGGATTCTGAATAAAGGAATTTTCTTTTAAGTTGTAGCGGAGAAGCGTGTCTCTCTCTATCTGTTCTGGTGGATTCTTTTATGTTCTTGAATGATTTATCATACATACATTCTACGTTTATACTATTAGTAAAATTAGAAATATATTTATACATATACGTAGAAGTATAACTACATACATACGGATTAAACAGAGAGACGGATCTCTATCGATTGTTGTTTTTTGTGTCTGTGTGTTTGCAGTCGTATTGAATAATCTGATTTTGTGGAGTTGAAATAAAACGACGGCTTTATTTGTAGTATTGAGTGTTGCAAGAAATGAAGGGAGGTTTCTTTTTTATCCGTTGCTCGTTAGAGAGGATTTGAAGCAGCGTTGGCTGCCTAAGGTCCACTAATGGAAATATTCTCTTCTGGGGAAGACTTGGTTATTAAGGTAAAAAAACAAATCTATAGATTATTATTAATCTTTAACATATTTCTTTCAAGTTGAAATAGTATTAGTTTTAAGTGCTAATTTAATTTTATCTGAATTATTAAGTTGTGTTAATGATAGACAAGGAAACCATATACAATTACCAAGCAACGAGAAAGATGGACAGAGGAGGAGCATAGCAGGTTCCTAGAGGCCTTGAAGCTCTATGGACGAGCTTGGCAGCGAATTGAAGGTCTAATTTTCATATATCTTTTAATTTATTTTTTTAATTTTTATTGAAGTGGGCTGATTTATTGTAATTCATGGAGTGTTTGTAAAATTAAACTAGGGGAATGATATGGATATTCCTTATAGGAATACATGAAATAATGTTCTTGTGTATTTTACTCTTAATTGGAGATCGGTCTCTTCTCTCTGTGTTTTCATCGTGGTGGTGTGCAGAACATATTGGTACAAAGACTGCCGTTCAGATCAGAAGTCATGCACAGAAGTTCTTTTCAAAGGTCAGTATCCATCTGCCTCTATATCAATTGTATATTCTTCTGCCTCTATATTTTTTGATTTGGTGTATAATTGTTGATCCTTCAGTTGCATGCCTTTTTAATTGTAGAATATTTTCTATTTTAATATCATTTGCCTCAAGGTTATTTTGTCATCATATATGTAATTTGAATTTCTGGTCATTTATCTAGAAGCAAACTGTTTCTTGTGCTTGGGAGTGATTCGAGTGTATATGTTGCTCTCACACATGCTCATTGCACAACAACCTCATAGCTTATCGATTTTTTTGTGAGATTGACTGCAGGAGACTATTTGCTTGGATTTATTTGAACTTGTAATTGACTACATCCATGCATAAGAGTTAATAATATTTAACTTGCCTTTTTTGAGGAAGAGGAGAGATGTATATTGAGGTTTGTTTGTTACTCCCATCTTTTATCCTTCATCTTTCAGAACATCCTCCCATAAAATATTTCTCTCTATAGATGCTTGGTCATTAAGTAGTCAGGGAAAGTTAGAGAAAAGAATAGGGTGTTTGAAACACCCCCCCTGAAATAGAACTAGTAGTTACACAATGTGCTTAGAAGCCCAAGGAAAATTGTCAATTCAGGTTTTTAAGCAGTTTACACACCACCAGTCAATATCTTTGATTAAGTATCCATTGGTGAGATAACTACTGGGGAAATTCTGCTTTTTGTACATTGTTTTCCCTTTTACTGTCTCTGCAGTCATGTAGGTGGTACCTATGTCTGTTACAATAGGCAAACTTCATATTGACCTTTTTAGGTGAGCTGAGATTTGGGAAACTTAATTTGACATGTGCTGTGGAGAATATAGGCTCATGTCAGCCAACATTTTCTACTTTGGACAAATTCGGTACTATTCCAAAATCAAACCCATGATCATTATAGGTTTGAAATGGGCATGGAGATTTTTGTGCTGACAAAATCTGCTTCAAATAATACATGAGGGTTGGAAGTTTCATTTTGGGCTGTTTAGTATACCTGGACTGGAGTATCTGAAATTCCCTGATGCTTTCTTTCTATTATGACCGCCTTCCACTTTTGAATGTCATCCAGATCACTGTACTAGCTTGTCAATGTAGCTACTTGGATTTGATCTTATATCATCAGGTGGAAGTTCGTAGTAATCTACATGCTGTTAATTTTTTTGTGCTGACATATGGTGGTGCTGATGACTACTTAGTTTTCTTTTCTTACCACTTTTTCATTGGAATCTGTGTACTTTGTGCTGTTATGAAGATTATATCTGAACCATGTGTTGTTCTACACCAAGCCATTAAAACTTCAGTCAACAACAATGTTTGATAGACATACACTACATCGGAAGGCACTAACTTCTAAGAAAGGGTCCTACTGGAGTTCAGAAGGATCTAGCATACTTTCATATGGTTATACTTTGTTTAGTCAGTTCCGTGGAATGATGAACAACACATTGGAGATTGATGATCATTTTGGCAGTGGCACTTGGGAAATCTGGATCTTTGATTAGTGACAACAGTGAACTTGCTAATCAATTATGTTAACATTCATTCATGAAATAAAGTTATATGACCTCGTTCAAATAGCCACTTCAGTAGATATTGGCTGTTTTTTGTAGCCCTTTTGTGGATTATGGCAGTAGAACCTCGGCTAGGAATATTTGAGAAAGTTAATGGGAGAGGGGCATGCTTGATCTAGTAATCAACAGGCTTGTCTGGTCTTATTGGAATGGGTGGCCCCAATTTTTGTTCAAAAAATTTCTTCTTCCCGTTGTCTGACTGTCATATCCACCCTTCTTCCTTGAAGAGCAGAGTACCATGATGGTGTGAATGAATTCCAGGATTTTTTTGTTATCAACCTTGGGTTGTTTTCCACAGGTAGATTTCCCTTCTTTTAAAAGACTAAAGGTAGCATTGATTTTTGCTAAAAAGAGTAAAATAACTAATTTCAAGATTTTAGTCAATATATTAGTTTCAAATGAAGTCGCCTTGTGAACAGAGATGGGTATCCCAAGCTAGTAATGTGTGAAGATATAGAGTCTCCTTGATATTACTGATTGTTCAGTCAGAAATTGGAACAAACATGCTCTTATCGTTTATTTTCCTACATAATCTGTCAAGATTCTGAATTTGTTCAGTCAGAATTACACAAAAATGTGCCTATGAAAAATCTCATGGTCCGTTTATGTCTGTCCCAACTTGATCACCGTGTGTTTTTTTCTGTCCTGACAATAAGTGGGGATGATTTGGCCAATTAGTCAAGGTGACAGCTTGGCAAACCAGTCCCCTTTTTTTTAAAATATGAACAGTAGTGAGTGTATGCACAAATGTACTCTTTATAAATGTTCAATCAAACTAACTTTACAGCATATTCAACTGATTAGGAGAGACTAGGGAACTAAACTACTTTAGCTTCTGATTTGAAAGAGTGGCACATGATTGAAGGTGGACAGTTTTGTGAGGACTTGCAAGTTTTGGAGTTCAAGGAGTTAAGTGGGAAGGCTTTATTTTTAAAAAATGAAAGGAACAAGTATCGCTAAGAAACCCCATATTCCTATGCTTATTCTGAACGAAACTTTTCATAAATGTTACAAGTAAATGTCTACTTAGGATTAGGTGGGGGGTCACTAGGCCATTGCAGAGAATCTGCGTGAGAGTGCCAAATGAGCAAGTGAAGGAGGATACTATCTAAGTAGCATATTTCCTTTTCCTTTGGTGCATGAGTGCATTTTTTTTAGAGGACCTTATGGAAACTCTTGAAAGTTGGGTGTTTTAATTTCTCATATTGAGGAGGTTGATGCATCGGATTATTCCTTTTTTGTGCATGCGTGCGTGCTGATTAGTACAGCAGGCATTGGATGTTCAGCATGAAGATTTGGACCTAGGAACAACACTGAATGCTGTATACACACTGAATGCTCTATACTGGGGCATGGAGATAATGTCATCTCATAAAATTCTCATCTTGTCCTGCAACATTTTAGGTGATGGGTTCTGGGATAGAGTGGCATGATTGGATTATTGAGGTAGCAAAAATTTCTGCTCAGGCTTAATGCATCTGATCTGACAATATATATCAACCTAAATTTATTCTCCTTTCTGTGTTCCTGTTTTGATAATGGAAAGTTTTTTGATATGTTAATATATTTGCTTTATGGCCTGTTCTTCTCAATCAAAATAACATGCTTTCTCAGAGTTCATAGAATAGAGTTTCACACTATATATTAGAAGTTTTAGAGAAACATTTGTCCCATAATAGAACATTTTCCCGCCGAGGTGTTACCCATGATTACTGCCAAATTGTGCAGCAGATCTTTTTCTTGTATTTTTCTTCTTTGTTGAGGATGCTAACAAATATTTCCCTTGCAGTTGGAGAAGGAGGCTGTTGTTAAAGGTGTTCCAATAGGACAAGCACTTGACATAGACATTCCACCACCACGTCCCAAAAGGAAACCAAGCAATCCTTATCCCCGAAAGTTAGGCGTGGGTCCTCCCGCATCACAGGTGGGAGCAAAGGATGGAAAGCTTTTAACTTCAGCTTCTTTTCCGTGTTGTAAGCAAGTTTTAGGCATGGAGAAAGAACCACTTCCTGAGGTGAACTGTCATTTTCTTTTGTCCCTCTTCATTCATTTAGCTGTTCCTTCCCCTTTAATACCTTCTTTATATTGTACATTCTTCAGAAACTTAATGGAGATGAGAGGCCAACCAATGCTAAGGAAAATCAGGATGACAATTGCTCAGAAGTATTTTCCCTTCTCCAAGAACCTCACTGTTCTTCTGTACCTTCAGTCAACAAGAATTCTGTTCCAACACTAGAGATTCTCAAAAAGGCTAGCCCTTTCAGGGAGTTTGTATCTTCACCGAAGGAGGGAAATCATGATGCAAGTAATCAATCCTCTGTCACCGTCGAGCTTGGAGCAAATCAAAAGTTGGACAACACTGATGTCAAACAGGATAACAGCACTAGTGAGTATCCAAAATCAGAAAACTTTTGCTCTTTTTCTGAGAAATTGTTTCAGCAAAAGAAATCAGATGATTTTACTGGAGCATTGCGAACAGATGGGATGCAAACCATGCAGAACTATCCAAGGCATGTCCCTGTACACGTTCTAGATGGGAGCCTGGGAACATGTATGCAAACTCCTCCCTCGGATTTTTCGTTTCAGGAATCCATGTTTCATCCAATAGGAGAAATCCCAGCATGTCCTAATTTATATTCACATCCTGCTGCATCCAAAACCACTGATCATCCAAATATTTCACCGAGATCCTCTATGCATCAATCATTTCCAAGTTTTCCTCCTCCCTTTACCCCAACTCATCATAATCAAGATGACTACAGATCTTTCCTCCACATATCCTCCACATTTTCAAGCCTCATTGTATCTTCTCTGCTACAAAACCCAGCAGCCCATGCTGCAGCAAGCTTTGCATCTATCTTTTGGCCCTATGGAAATGTGGAGAGTTCTGCGGTTTCTCCAGCATGTGCCCAAGGAGGTTTCCAATCCAGGCAATTGAACTCTGCTCCTAGTATGGCAGCTATTGTTGCTGCTACAGTGGCGGCAGCAACCGCATGGTGGACAGCACATGGACTACTTCCCTTGTGTGCCCCTCTTCATACCTCTTTTGCCTGCCCTTCTGCATCTGCAACTGCAATTCAGTCTGTGGATACTGGTCAAATTTCTGCAACCAAGACAGAAAGGAAGGAAACAGCTGAAAATCCTTCTTTGCAGGGACAAATACAGAACCCAGAGCACACTGCAGCTTTGCAAGCTCAAAACTCAGCATCTAAATCACCAAAGATAACATCATCAGACTCTGAAGAGAGCGGAGGCCCAAAGCTAAATACTGGACCAGAAATTACTGATCATGAATTGACTACAACACCTCACGAGGTCCAGGATTCAAGCAAAACAAAGAACAGAAAACTGATTGACCGTTCTTCATGTGGTTCAAACACACCTTCTAGCAGTGAAATTGAGACAGATGCATTAGAGAAGGCTGAGAAAGGAACGGAAGAGCCAAAAGAAGATGATGGAAATCATCCAGCTTCCGAGTCTAGCTCTCGCCGCAGCAGAAGCAGCAGCAGCATGAATGATTCATGGAAAGAGGTCTCCGAAGAGGTGACTTCATAAATATATTTCTCTGTTGATAAAATATATAATGGTATTCCTGTGACCCACAAGAGTAGCTTATGATTGTATTTTTTATTTTGCATTTATCTCCACTCTTCTTATGTTACAACTTTTATCAGGGGCGGCTGGCATTTCAAGCACTCTTCGCTAGAGAGGTATTGCCCCAGAGCTTCTCACCTCCACATGATCTGAAGAGTAAGATGCACCAGAATGAAGATGCTGGAGAAAAGAAAGATGCAGATGAGAAAGATGGAGATGCATCACTGATAAATCTCAACAGTAAAACGTGGGAGTGCTGCTCTGGTAATCAAGAAGGGGAGAAAAATGCCTTGTCTAGATGTGAAAACTATGGGGAGGAGGGGCTGCTGACGATTGGGCTTGGACACGGAAAGCTTAAGGTTCGTCGAACCGGATTTAAACCTTACAAAAGGTGTTCACTGGAGGCTAAAGAAAGCAGAACCGGAACCTGCAGCGGCCAGGGCGAGGAGAAAGGCCCCAAGAGGTTACGTTTGGAAGGAGAAGCTCCAGTTTGATATTTGATATTGCTTGCTTGAACAAGGGAAAACCTTTGTTTTTGCATGTAATTTATGATATCCTCGCTTGCCTATCATTCCTTTTATGTTTCAATTAGAGTATCTGCAACCCACAAGACTTGTCGTGTCACTGTGTGTACTATATGTCGACATTGGCTTATTTACTTTCTTGAAGCCGTTACCGCAGTTAAGAACTCCGTTAAATAGACGTAGATAAGAACTTAAGAACCATTAAGTATTGAATTGGCCTTCCATGGCCCTTTTCCTCTAAAGTTCATAATTATTTTTTAACTCCTATATCTACTGTTCTATTCTTCCTCGTCACATTATGGCTGCGAGAAGAAAGGACGTGCTTCTGCTGGCGAGTTGCCCCTTGCCACGGAAGTGAGAAGGAAAATGGAACTTCCGTTGAGAAATCTTCTGGCACATGGTTGCCAAATGGGCAACAATCTGTAACCTGGGTGCTATCGTGGCTCTTCTAGGATGTCAAGGTAGTGGACATTTTAAAGAAGGGTACTTCGGCTTCTCTATTGGGTAGTCCGTAGCTTCAGTTTATTATGATTTGAAATGTTATTTTCAGGGAGGTTCTCTGTTGACTAAACATGAAAGATTTTAAAAAAGTTCAGACCCGCGAATTGTATACACCATTGTCTTTGGTTCTCAGGATTCATCTGTAGACTCATTTATTCTCTAGCTTGCTTGTATGAGGCATCTATGCTACATCATTTCTAGATCATTTCCTCTTTGGTATTTATCTTTTATGGGCTACATGTTAAGATACATGATTACTTTTTTATATATATAGTTTGGAATTCTATCAAGATCGTTTTGAGCTGGACTGTCATGACATGATGATCTTTACTATTGTGAGCATACACTCACCTAAAATTTTTATATTTATAGATTCAAAAAAATTTATATTTATTTATTCGATTAGTCCTTTTATTTTATTTGGTATGAAAGGAATAATTCAGTTTTTCATGAAGTTATTTTTTTTTTATTTTAACTTTTATTTTTCTAGTTATCTTTAGTCATTTTGACCTTTAGAAATGTGCCTTTATACTTTTTATCTTTAGTCATTTCGACCTTTAGAAATGTGCCTTTATACTTTTTGAGATATGTCACCCCTACTTTTATATAGTTATTTTTTATATATATACAATTACTCTTGTAACAAAAAAAAAAAAGAACTTCTGGCACAGGTTGGATTTACCCTTTCCATTTAAATTGCATCATGTATCAACGATGATGGATAAAGAATTAACATTTGTTAACAGTCCATGTCCGCGGACCGTAGATGATAAAACCCACACTTCCGAATAAAACCGACGACGGTTTGGCAAGCAAGCTCGCTTCTCACCTGGGGAGGTCAGGGGTTCGTGTCTGAGGCTTTGCGTCCAACAAGACCATTAGATGGCTGATCGAACAATCGAATAACGTATGGGTTAGGCTCGTAATTTTGCCTCCAAAAACTAGCATGCTTTGTTTGTCATCCTTGTTCTTGAAAGCCGGAATCTGCTATTCACCTCATCATATTAGACCTTGAAGACAACTGATTTGAGGTAACAATGATGAACTTAAAACTTGAAGCAAGCACTCATATTCACAATTCTTTCCAGGAAAAAAAAAATGAAGAATCTGTCTTATTTACACAACTCAAACACAGACCATTCCGTTTCCAGGATGACGAGTCTGCTGTACGTTCTGTACATCATACATGCATCAAAGTGCTTCTTTAGTCATGTTAGCATATTACTGTGCGCATCCATTTACAAAACATGCAAACTTAAAATTGCATGCCACATCTGACCTTAATTTCCAGGTGATGTGTTGGTGATCTGCGGCATAGGAAAGTTTCTGAAAGTAGCTGTACACGAGTTACATTTTACTTGGTAAGAGAATCCGAGGATTGTTCAGGAAATGACTGCAACATTGAAAAGCCAGACCTACGAGACTGCAATTTCAAAATGTAGCTTTTGATTCGCTTCCTACTAGCAGGAGTTAATGAAAATGGAGGGTTCAATGGGAGAGATGTTGCTTCTTCCATTATAAAATGTAGCAGAAGCATTGCTTTGGAATATGAGTTATCAGCTGCATCCTTGTTCTCCATATACTCATCTACCTGAAGGAAGACAAGAACTGCCCAGCATTAATGTATTTGTAAAAGGAACAGGAAAATTACGCTTCAGCACAGATGTTGGTCACTTACAGCACCACTTGTCTCAACAGCAAGTGCTCTTTGGAATATCAGCTCCATGGCATCAGGCATCTCAGCAGCAGCTACAGCATATTTGACAGATGAGGAAATTGCAAATGAAGTAACACGGGGGAAAAAATACATGCATAAGTACAGCACATTGATATAAGCCATACCATCCATGTCTCGAAGGCTATTTGATAACTTCTCTGCATGATCAAATGCAAGAATGAACCCTTTTTCTGCCCACTTGCAGGCTGATGAAGGCTCAATAAAATCCAATTTACCAATTGCAAGTGGAGTTAAATCTATGCCTCCATAAACAAGGGCAGATTCATTGGCTGAACTGCTTTCATGTAATTTGCTCCCTCCAGTAGAGGCTGCCCAGTGTTTGCAAATTTCGAGAGCTCTCTTCCATATAGCCAAAACAACAAGCTCAACTGAAAATGATTCTAGAAACATTCCTGCATCATACTGCAAGCAACAGCAAAACTTTACATCAAAAACAGAAAGGGACCATTTCTCCAGGAAATTAAACAGTAACTGATAGACAAGATCTGTTCAAGAGCAATTGGGCATGTGCAATTATGTTTAGCAGTGGTATTATATAAGTGTATCCTTTCTACTCTTCAGCTGCTTGGTGATAGCAAATGAAATTTTCTGCACACATCGTTGTGGTTTGGCTCAAGAATTCATGTGAAATACTAAAAGTGGTTCTCTTAATAAATAAGGTTTGTGATAATAATGCCTGGTGCCTTAATGATCAATGATGCAGGAAACAGGAATCATGTAAACACCTTAAGAACTCAAAACATCACAACAAATAAAATACTATGAAAAACAATGAGCATATGCAAGCTCCTTGCTTTGGGGAAAAAAATGCCAGCTCCCTTGAGTTAAGAGTTTTGAACATGCTGCTCATGAAGAACTCAAGAGCAAAGAAAAAAAAAAAAACCTCTGTTCATGTAATTTTGCAACTGTATAGTACATCTGCCTCAACAGGCATTGTCTGGATTTATAATTCATTTCGTCTTTGTGCTAGCCAAAGAATATGCCTGATGAGTGATGACTCTGAATTTTTAACTTCAATTACACGACCCGTCCAAAATTGACGGATTAATCAACAACAGTTAGACAAGAGCTCAGCATAACATACCTAAAAACTCACCTTTTCTTGGGCTAGTTCTGCAATTTCCTGTGCATACTGATTTAAGAATTGAAGCTTAATCGAGGGATGTAGTATGGGTAGTCCTTGTGCTTCCCTTAAGATAGTTGGCACACATGACGCACTTAATGGTTCTGATCCACGAACCTCAGGATTGTTTGCACTGCCAACAGAACTACCAGTAAACTCCTTCGTTTGTGTAGCAACTGCTGTATCCTTGTTATTCTTCTGAGGCAGGTATACGGAAGCTTTGCTGGTGAAGCTATCATGCAGGGATGTCTCTAGGTAATAAGAGAAATTTTCCATTGAAGCAAAATGACGATTTACAATAACATAATCCTTCTCTATGGACTCCATTAAATCAGCAACTGAATAGAAAAGAGACAATCATTGCTTGCCCAAAAAAAAAAACACGAGCTTAAACTGTTTCATCTAAGAAAACAAACAAAATAAAATATAATAAAAACAGACCTTGAAGCTGATCTGACAAAGATTGGTTACCATCAGCAGATTTCCCCATCCTATCATGCACAATATTTGGCAAAGACCCATGAAAACTTTCATTTCTGTCACAGACCTTTTCTAGCACTGTTAAGTTGTCATGCTCCAGTTGAGACCTTGTATCAGAAGCAGACGCATCAAACTGCCCAGCCACTGATTTCACTTGTGGAAGTGGAGGAGATTTGGCACTCACCAATAGCCTACAAAATTTTGTGCTAGTAAACATATGTAAGTAGCTTCGATATGCCAAACTGCTAATGAGCCAAAGCAGAAAGTGGCAGCATACATGAAATGCACCAATAAGAATGCATAATAAAAATGGAGGTTCAGACTTCAGAACATTACCTTGGCTCCCCAAGGAACTTGTGATTGAAGAACTCTTTGAATGTTAACCTCTCAACTGCAAATGAAAGTTTTGAAACATTTACATGAAAATTTTGTAGGTAAGTTATAGCAATGACTATGCAGTGACCCTTGTACATTTTTAACTTGGCTTGTATAGTTCCACCACTAAACCACCACACCAACACGCAAAGACATACACCAACCATGTGCACATATACAAGCACAAAAATCCACCATGGTAATCAGTACCTGGGTTTTGGCGTAAAAGGCCTCTGCATAGATCAACACAATCTGGATGCAGCTCCTCCAAGGCACCTTGTGGAAACCTCAGCTCTGTAGATGTCAAAATATTCTGGAAAAGCTGTGTACAGAAATAGCAGTGAGAATTAGCCTTGAGCTGCATAATGTATGGAAAAACCTAATGTTTCTCGTTATGTTTGGTTTGCATATAATTCTTTTGAAACCTGATATTGACTATTGCCATTAAATGGAGGCTTCCCAGTTACCAGCTGGAATAAAATTGCGCCAACACTCCATAAGTCAGCCTGTATGTATGAGAAATTATGTTAATGGTAATACTTGAAAAATTAACATCAACTGCTCTCAATTTCATGTAAACTAAATGTTACATCACCTTTGCATCATACTTTTTATTCTGAATAATCTCTGGAGCCATGTATAATGGTGAGCCGCATAGTGTATCAGCCAAGTCTGGTGATGCCAAGGACCTGGCATATTAGAAATTCAGGGAGATGCCTGAGTGGAAGAGAGTATCTCATGAACATTACATGGCAACTTAGTATTTTAGGCCTTTTCTGTTTAGATCAATAACAGAGTTTTGTCATGTTTAGATGCTGAATGAAGTTGCTTTCACAATTTTCCCTGTGAACTAGACTTTTCTACATACTAGTTATTATGTATAGTTAACAAATACATTAGCAAAGCTACTAAAAAATTATGTTTGCACAGAGGTCTGACAATAGAAACCAGCAATGGCACTTCCATGACCACTCCCTAGACCAAGAGCTGAACATAAATCTGCACTCAGTAGCATGTGGTGTTATTGAAATGATTTAAGAGGTC